TTGGGTCACCCCCAGTGATGCTCAGGGGTTACTCCTGGCTCTACACTCAGGAATTACTCCTGGCGGTGCTCAGGGGACCATATGGGATGCTGGGAATTGAACCCCGGTTGACCGCGTGCAAGGCAAACGCCCTACCCGCTGTGCTATCGTGCCAGCCCCCACAGCTACATTTTTTTAAAAGCAGGAGCAATTTTTTCTTTACTACCACTTGTAGATAAGCATAACCCGTTTCTAAGGCACATTCAGTTGAAGTAATGTCTTTTTCTTAAATTCCTTTTGTCTAGTACTCATATCTGTTAGACTTTTCTTCAAATTATTTGAGGATTAGTTTAATCATTCAGACTGAGAGGCTTCTCATTTATTTATTTTTCTTAAATTCAAAGCTTGATACCTGCCTTAAACTACTGCGACTTAATTTTGTATTAAGCTTATTTTTATTTTAGTTTTTATGTTTTGGTTTTTGGGCTACACCCAGAGGCACATTGTGCTTACTCCTGGCTCACTCAGGGATCACTCCTGGTAGGCTCTTGGGGGAACATCTGGGATGCTGAGAATCGAACCTGGGTTGGGCACATAAAAGCCAAACACTCTCCCTGCTGTATTATCACTCTGCCCCCAAAGTATTTAAGTTTCACTTAATCACTTAACTTCCCGTTAGTCGTCGATTTGCTCGAGCGGGTGCCAGTAACGTCTCCATTTGTCCCTGTCGCGTGCTAGTGTAGCCCAATGGCATCTGTTCGCTCCGGGAACATGAAGGGCCTCAAACTGATCGTTCATGATCTTGACGAAGAAGTCTGACCATCTGGTAGGTGGGCGGCCACGCAGTCTTTTGACATCCCGTGGAATCCAGTTTAAGTTTAAAGTTTAAAGTTTATTTAAGTTTAAAGATAAATTTTTGACAAAGTCAGAAGGCTTGATAATAAGAGGTTCCCCCGACTCCTGCGTCCCCATTTACCCATATAGACTTGCACAAATTTGTTTAATCTTATTTCTCCCTTTCATTATCTATCTTATTTCCTAAAATGTTGCCATATAAACTTTTTGTGTTTATTAGAGGAAAGGGAGATGGCAGAGCTTAATTACTTAACGGTGGAGAATGTACTTTGTTTTGTTTTAACAGAGAAGCTAGTCAGTTTCTCCTAGGATTTAATGAAAATATTGGGGAATGGGACAGGAAGTTGGGATATAACTTGAGCAAAACTTAATGGAAGGACTTGAATTTCCCTTGCTGGGTTTGTGTTGGAGCTGTCTCAGAGGAGCAATATAGAGTCTCTGAGACTAGTTGACTGCAGGAAGACTCTTATGGAGTTGATATGGGGGTGCATCTACACATGGGGGTTATCCTCAAAGCTTCATCAGTGAGGTAATCTGTTCTCACGGGAAAACAGTTAAAGGCTGGAGGAATGAATACACCTGCCGTTTTGTGGCATGCTGTTTTTGTTTCATCTAGACTTAAGGGGCATAGTTTTATGGTTGGTCATGAGAGGGGAATTGCCTTGTGATTTTTACAGTAGTGATCAGCCACTTGGGCGTTGGAGAGCGGACTTTGAAGGCAGGACAACAGAACAGTCTCTCAGCCAGTTTTCTCTTTTGAAGTTTTCAGCCATCAGAGAAGCATCACATGCTTGGGACTTCCAGTGGCTGCCTCACAGAGATTTATTATTTTATTGCCTTGTGAATTATTAATTTTATAGCATTTGTTACTGACTTTTAAGATAATCACCATTTTTGCAGTCTAGTTACAAGTATTTCCTGTAAATCATTGTTTCCTCCCTTGTTCCTCGGCTGAATAATTTTTTTAAACTACTTGGATCTAATTACTATTACTTCATGTGTCTTCTTATCCTTCCCTAGATGGTTTCACCCCTCTCTTATTTTTTTGCATGAATTGCAGCCCATTTTATATGGACTATAGTCTTTAGTATTTATTTATTTTTTTATGTTGTTAATTTCTGGTGAACTGAAATTAGGATACTTGAATCTACCTACTCAGATACCAGAGGAAAGACATTTATTCGAACAAAAATATGAGTATCAGTATTCATTTTATTTCCATTGTTTATATTTTTAGGGGGGGTGTCACCCAAGCAAGGTTCGGGTGGCCTGGACCCATTTCCAGTGATACTCAGTCAGCTGACCAGTGGGAGGGCCTGAATGCTTAGCTTCTTAGGTTCTGTGTTCCTGGGAGCACCAGGCCAGCAGCACCCAGTGGGGGGTATGGAGGGGGTTGGGTACACACAGAGGAAGTGCCCCTAATCCCTGTGCTATTTCCCGGCCATTTAATAATCTTTTCAGTCCACTTCTGCCTCCTTGACCTGCCAGGCCTGTGAGTAAGGATCCTAATACTTGTTCCTATGTGAGTGTCACATGTTGGGAAGTGGTTTGAGAAACTTCTTGAAAACTCATAGAGGGAGGGAGGGAAGAGGGAGGGAGAAAGGAATTGCTGTTTTACCTTACTGTCTCTTTGAAATGACTGGCTGTGCCTTTGAGAGCGTTTGAGAGCTAATGCATCTTGTCTGCTGTTTCGTCTCTAGCACATCTTGGGTTCAGTCTTTGAGTTCTAGAACAACAGAATCTCAGTTAAAATATTATTTGTTCATGGTTCTTTTTTGGAAAATATTTTCTTTTTTTTTTTTGACGTTTGAATAGCACTATATTTAAACTACTAAATTATAAATAGAGGTGGAGAGACCGCGACAGATAAAACATCCTGGTAGATATTAGGTTTTCTACCAAAACTGCATTTTCTGTTTCTATCAAAATATTGTCTCTGATTTACTTTTTTCATGGATATCATGTCAAAATCATTATTATTATTATTTTTATTAGTGAGACACCATGAGGTACAGTTGTAGATTTACAATTTTTTGTGCTTGGGTTTCGATTATACAATGATCAGATACCCATCCCTTGGAAAATATTTTCATTTTGAGTTCCAGTGTTTTTCTTACTCTAAACATAGATCTAACTAAGGTGGTAAAATTTGGAAGAATCTTAATTATTCTCCCATCTAGTTGATGTCATAATCTGCAAATTCCTTGGTGGTATCTATTATACTTTATGTGTGTATAATAATTGTATCACATATTTGGAACTTTGTAAGCATTCCAAATTTTTTGTTGAAAAAGTTCTAGAAAATGGGGAAAAGCAAATGGTAATGAAAGGACTAAGGAAACAGCAGTGTAGATTCAGTAGTGGCCTCGGTGGTACTAAAACAGAGTCTTTATTTAAATCACCTTCAAAGGTGGATGGGTTTTCTAACTATTGCATAAGCAGTTAATGAGTTTTGTAGGAAATTACACAGAAAATACTTTTATAAGATCAGGCAGGTGATAAGGTTATTTTGACCAGGCTATAGTCCTTTGGGCAGCTTTATGTAAGTTCATGCTTACATCTTAACAAAGTTAGATATTATTAAAAATTTAAAGTAGGAATAGCAAGATAGAAGTTGGACAGTGTTAAAGAAATAATGTTGTCTTGAGCACAAGAACTGTGTTTACATTTTTCATGTTTATTTTTGTTTGTATATACTTTAGTAATTGTAGTCATAATGCATGTATTCTTTTTTTTAAAAAAACTAACATTCTGCACATATATGGAATTATGAAACCTGAAGTTGTATAACATAGTTGTAGGCCAAGGGTGAGTAAGACCTAATTTTCTTAGACCAGCGAGTACACAAATACCATTTTATTATTCTTTTTTAGCAGTGTACATTTGGGAATCTAGTTTATGACTAAACCGGATCATGTATCATGATTGAAATTAGAAAAAAGTAATTACTTCATGTAGTTTAGAAGACTTTCTGTTGTCTCAGGTTCTTTTGTAGAGAATAAAAATAATATTAATTGCTGCATTATCAAGTGGCTATCAGTAGAACTTGACATTCTTTTCTAGATTGAAGATAATCTAAACTGGGTATTGGAAAATAGGATTGTGTTTGAATTATGCCTTTGAACCATCTCCAACTCTTTTTTACCCCCCTATGACCTTGGGGTAGAACATCTAATCATAAATGGAAACTTGGAGTAAAAATAGTTGATATTAATTTGATTATGAGGAATAGTTTATGCTCTGCAAGGTTACTGTGAGAATAAAGAAGGCATCTAAAACTGATGTTGTAGGGCTGAGTGACTGTACAGCGGGTAGGGCATTTATCTTGCATGTGGCTGACCTGGGTTAGATCCTCACACTCTATATGGTTTCCTGAGTCCCACCAAGAGTGGTCTCTGAATTCAGAGCCAGCATAAGCCCTGAGCAGAGCCAGGTGTGGCCCCCAAACCAACCAAACAAATAAAAACCCTACGAAGTAGAACAACTCTTTAATATAGGGCAAATAGTCAAAATGCCTCCATTCATAGGAGATAGGTATTGATTGAGAATTCAGGGACCTGGAAACGGATGACTTAGCCAGCACCTGTTGGCTTCCAACTTTGCTTTGATTTACATAGACTCAAGTGTACTGAGTTAGTAAGTGTTGCAGAATGGGGAGATTCTGTCCAGGAGTAAGTGAATTGAATCACCGGAGTTCTTTATTACAGAACCTGATCTTGTGTTGACTTAGTTCTCAGTCTACTTTATTCTCAGTCTACATGTTCCAAATGAATAAAATACAGGTGGTGGGGGGAGAGAGAGAGAGAGAGAGAGAGAGAGAGAGAGACAGACAGACAGACAGACAGACAGACAGACAGACATTGAGAGATTGAGAAGGGGTAATAATTAGACTTTTTATTTGTACTGGATACTGACAGAAAATCTGAAAACCAAGCTCTTTGGAACTTGTCCAGTTTGAGAATGTCTTGTTATATTCATTAAAGGATAACTAAAAAACTAGGGGTTGCTTACAAAATTACTGCTTTTATTTTTTGGTGAGTAGCAGTTAAATGAACGGTTTTTCAGGAAGTAGTGGGGGAAAAATAGCCACATACTTTTTAACTGTTCACCATTCCTAAGTCGAGTCATCATCTTGTTAATTTCATCAACATGTTCATTTCTTTCAGCTCCATGTTCATGCATGTCTTTTAACCCGGAAACAAGAAGACTGTCCATAGGTCTAGACAATGGTACAATCTCAGTAAGTACACATAAATAACATTTCCAGTTGAAATACTTAACCTTCCTGTGGTGTGTTGGAAATATGCATTGTGATGGGAATTATTTATTACTATTTTTCAAATGAAAAAATCCTTTTTTTTTCCCCCTCAGTAAAAGTGGAGACTGCAGTGTGGCAAATTATGGGAAGGTGTAGAGAAGAGCAGTTATCACTTTGGAAAGTTTTAGCTTGTTGATGTACCCTGTGGCTAAAATAGATGCAGTATGAACCCAGTGAGTGAACTTGATGGGCCTGTGTGTTAGAACAAGGTGTGATCCCAGCAGCTTTGATCAGATGGCTGACGTGGTGTCAGATGCCACCCTCCACAAGTGACAGAACATGAGGAAAATGTCTTCTCAGAATTGCTTGTCTGACCATGTCTTCAATACTGAATGTTCTCTCTTTTCCTCTTCTGCGCTTTATTGTCTTCTGTAGATGAACAGAATTCTGTAAATGTGTGTGAATTTGTATCTGAATTCAGATGCACACGTGGTAGACTCTGGGATGATAAATCTTGAGGTAAACGGAGTAATTAATTGTAGCACTGTAGCACTTTCCTCCCGTTGTTCATCGATTTGCTCGAGTGGGCACCAGTAATGTCTCCATTGTGAGACTTGTTACTATTTTTGGCTTGTCGAATATGCCATGGGAAGCTTGCCAGGCTCTGCCATGTGTGCAGGATACTACTCTTGGCAGCTTGCTGGGCTCTCCGAGAGGGATGGAGGAATCAAACCTGGGTCGGCCGCGTGCAAGGCAAATGCCCTACCCTCTGTGCTATCACTCCAGCCTAATTACTCTCTCATGGAGTAATTAGAGATTGAAATAATATCTAGATTTTATCTACGTAATCTTTTCACCTATATAGTTTTAATGAATATCTTAACTAGTAACAATACTGATTTGGTAAATTTTTCATTTCAGTCAATACTTCAGTATTTCCTTTAGTCCTCAGGCATAGTTTCTCCGTATTAGGGGACCTATACTTAGGCAGGATTTACTCTTCCCTATAGGCTGAAGAGCTGAGGGTCTCAGTAGTAGGCCCAGGCTAAGCCTTTCTTGCCTTTACCTCCATACCCAACTCAGGCATTTCCTGTTTAAAGCCTGCTTCCAGGACTTGCCTGGACTTTCCACTGATAGTTCTGAGAAGGCTAAAATAGCAAATGCTCTATGCGTACCAGGTTCACGTGAGCAAAGGGGCCCTCAGAATGTGGATTGAACTGGGGCATGGGAAGAGAAAATGAGGCTGGCCCACCCATGCCATCACACTATGATGCAGAACTTCCAAGAGTAAAATTCTAAATTTATACCGCTATTTCCCGGTGTTTTAATTGTTGAACTTGATTCATTACTTTTAAATATTTAGAGATTTGTAATGTGGGTTTTCATTTGTGGTCTTGATTTCACCTCTACAGATAATAGGGGTGGGGACCTGACATTTTTCATTTGACCTTCAGTAAAAGCTTTGGTGACCTTTAGGGGAAATATGACAGTATTGTTAAATGCAAATGAGTCTATTGATAAATGTTTATGTGATTTCTATAAAATGCAGTTCATTTGGTAAGTTTGAATTTTTCCTTAGGAGACAGAGGTTTTGTATTATAGATCTTTACTTCAGGATTGTCATTCTGAAAAGGGAGTGTTGTGGGGGATAGATTAACCTAATTTAATTTAATTTATTTGGTTTTTGGGCCACACACAGCAGTTCTCAGGGCTTACTCCTAACTCTGTGTTCAGGGTTCACTCCTGCTGGGCTCCAGGGACCATATGTGGTGCCTGGGATTGAACTGGGTCAGCTGCGTGCAACAAGCACCCAGCTCTTTTTTTATGTTGTTGTAAATCTTTTTTTTTTTAAATTTTTTATTTTTTAAAAAATCACCATCACAGACTTGCAAACTTTCGTGCTTACGTTTCAGTCATACAATGATCAAGTACCCATCCCTCCACCGGTGCCTTTTCTTCACCACCAATGCTCCCAGTATCCCTCCCATCATCCCCTCCAGTCCCCTGCTTCCCCCCGACTCTGTGGTGTGCAGATTCCCTTTTGCTCTCTCTCTCCTTTAGGGAAGCACCCAATTCTTACTCCAGCTGTGGAAAAATTAATTTTATAAGCTAAAGAGAGATAATTAGATTTCTTACTGAGCTGAAGTGTTCCTTACAAATGTAATTTGAAGAGATGAACTGAAATCCAGCAGTTCATGGAAGAGTATATATCACACTTTATGTGAAAAGTTTTAAGTATGCGTGATAAATGGGTGATTCTGAGTACTTTTGAAATTTAATGTAGGTAGTTAGTACATTCCCCTGACCCTGAAAGAGCCTCCAGTATGGAGCATGGCAGTGTTGGGAAAGACTGCTAAAATCTCAGGGCTGGGACGAATGAGACGTTATTGGCGTCTGCTCGAGTAAATCGATGAACAACTGGATGACAGTGACAGTGGCAGTGACAGTTGGTACATTCTGATAAGTTAGGCTCTGGAGAAAGGTCAACAAAGGAAGTTATGGAGAGTTCTATCTTTGCTAGTTAAGAGGAAGAGCCATCTAATTCCTTTGGAAATGGAAATGCCAGGGAACTAGAGCATAAATCAAGACCCAGGCAGAGATGATTCTCTAGCTGTGTCAGTACAGGATGAAGATATCACACCTTTCCCTACCTCAGATTTCTCAAAAAGATTAAGGACACAGCTTATAGGACACAATAGCCTTAAAAGTCCATTTTATGTTGCTGATAAAAATGAAATTTTAACCACCCGATTCTCATCTGAAGAATTACAAAGATTTCTGAGTTAGGGAAAGACAGAACAATGTATCTAAAGTTTGGAATTTCTTTATTCCCTATGCCATAGCAGATTCTTTACAGAATATACTTATATATTTTTAGCCTTTTACTTTCTGGGCAGAAGAGATGCTATTTAGAGACTATACATTCTCTGTTCCCTTGACTATGCAAATAAAAGTTTAAAATATATATTGGCTAACCTACTGGTTGGACAAAGAAAGGTTGAAAACAGAAAGTGTATCTTTATTTCACTTTATTTTGCTGGATAAAAAAAATATTTCAGGTGTCATTAATCTTACATAATAAAGTAAAGATAGATAGGAGCCATTTTTTTCCCAAACGCTTGTCCACAAAAATAGAGGAGAAGTTGTACACTGAAGATGAGGCCACAAGAAGCAAGCAGCCAGTTTGGAGAGTTTAGCTCTGGGGAAGAATGGGGAACTCTCGAGCTGGAAGGGGAGAGCACAGCTCCTGGGGTGGAAGCTGGGGCTGACTTTTTCTTCTTCCCATTAAATAACAAAATAGGTCATTGTTTTGCCATGAGACTGAGTGTGTACTTTCTTTTTAAGATACGTTTTATTGAACAGTTTTTTACTTAGAGTCTACCAGATTTTATTATTAGACTTTAAGAAAATTATGATTTGGTAGCATGGTTGTAACAGTGTTAACACAGGGTTTTTTTGTTTTGTTTTGTTTTGTTTTGTTTTGGGGGGTTCCATCTGGTGGTGCTCAGGGATCACCTTGGTGGTGCTGGACCTGAAACCCTGTTTGGCCATGTGTAAGACAAACACTTTAGCTGTTCTGCTATGACTCCAGCCCCTTCCTCTTATGGTTTTGATTTAATTGCATTTCACCTCCACCAAAGTGCCCAGGGCCCCTATTTCTAGTTCACCCCCTCCACCCCCACCCCTGCTTGGTAATTTCAGTTTTGTAACCCAGGACACATGTCTGTCATTATTTGATACTGTCTATTCCCAGATTTGCTCTGTCTACCTCAGGTAAGTGAGCTCATCTGCTACTGTCTTTTACCCTCTAATATTTCTTTTAACACAATAGAAGGGTTTTTTGGGGTACCTATACTTTTTTACTCTTTCTCATGTCTCCCTCCTTCCATTTTTTTCTAAGTACATTTTTTTCGGGGGGGAGGGTGTTTATTTTTGGGCCACACCTGGCAGTATTCAGGGAATATTCCTGGCTCTGCATTCAGGAATTAATCCTGGTGGTGCTCAGGGGACCATATGAGATGCAGAGGATCAGACATGGTTGGGCTGCCTGCAAAGCAAGTGCCCTACCTGTATACTTTGCTCAAGCCCCGTCTTCTAATTGATTTCTTAAGATTTTATCCCAATGTTATGTTTTCTCTTTTTTGTTTTTGGACGGAAGTTTCCAGAGCCTGACCCAGTGAAATTAGCCCTATCCAGTACCCAGTAGGTTAGCTGCAATGCATTAATTTTGTTTCCTGAGATGTCAAGTCTATTTCCTCCTTTAAAGTATAGTTAAAGACTTGGTGGGAGTCTAGCTTTTTATTCATTTCCTCACCCAGTTGAATTTAGTGTAATTCTTGTACAGATAGGGATTAAATGTATAATTGGTTAAGTAATTAGTTGATTTGAGCTAGTCTATTTGTATAATTTTTTTGCCAAAACTGTTTTTTAAAGAATGGCAGTAGGTTATTTTATCTTGAGTTTTCAGTGATACTTTTTCCTTTAATAGTGAATGTAGTCATTGTGCCAACTAGTATTCATGCTGAGGGCTTTAAAATTGAGTCAGCCAACAGGTATTAAGTATTGATCACTTGATCACTTGACTTCCCATTAATCATCGATTTGCTCGAGTGGGCGCCAGTAATGTCTCCATTTGTCCCTGTCGCGTGCTAGTATAGCCCAATGGCGTTTGTTCGTTCTAGGAACACAAAGAGCCTCAAACCGATCATTCAGGATCTAAATATTAACGGTGTGTAAAAGAATATACTCAGTTTTAGAATATGGTTCCTGCTTACAAGTTGTTTATCATTCGTTTTGGGAAAAGTGAATAATCAACTTACGAAAAACAAAGCACAAGGTACAAATAATTACAGCAGAAGTTGGCAATGCACAGTGGGTATGAGAGTGGCAAGGCAACAAGGTCTGAGGGGGGAGAAGAGAGTGGCCTGTGACAGCTCCCTGGAGACTGGCTGTAAGCTGGAGTTTAGAGATGGGCCAGTTGG